TATGTGTTCCTTTCCCATTTCAAACAGAGAGACCTGTGTCCTGTGTTATTGTGATCCATGGGAGAATTCCTGTAGGAGGAAGAGGCTGAAACACTGGCCTAAGGTTACTAAACAGAGTATTCAATGACAAATGCATCAGTAACACTTCTGAAATATTTGCATGTTTCTCTATTACTGTATTGTTCAGATTTTATTAGAGGAAATTATTCTGATCCTACTAGAGTTACTGAATTTCGGGGTAATTGAAGTCCCCTGATTTTACTTCTGAAGAAACTGAGGCCCAGAAAGGTTGAATAAATTGCTTGACATTAACAGAGATAGGCTCCCGTTTTTTAGAAGAGTCTCTTCTAATATTTGATTTTAGGCATGTGTTTTTAAAATAATAGTTGGATATGGCTGAGAGCTTAGTTGTTAAAACTGTGAAGCAACTTATGACACATGTTTAGCCAAATAAAATTATTTCTCCAGCTCATGCCATGCTGACAGCTTGCAAAAGTGTTTTCACTTTCCTTCTTGTCTCATAAAAGGGGTTGCAGCTATTTTTAAATCTTGGGTTTGTATAAAGAAATGTAGATTATAAATTTAGGTTAGTTGAACCTAAATTTCAGGAGTTTATTCAGGAATTTGGCAGGTTGATATGAACTTTCTGGAGTATAAGTGAAACAATAATGAGGCCTTTAGTGATCTATCTACCTATTTATCTATCCTCTATCTATCTTCAGTGTCATCCCAAGTTATTTAAAGAATGAGAAAAAAAGTGATTTTTTTTCTTACTCTTAGGTAATGAAGTGGTTGACTAAATTGATATAGGATGACAACTTCAATGATCATTGTTATAATATTGCTTAATAACAAAACATGTACAAGTCAAAATAAATATGGGCACAAAGAAAACCTCTATTTTGTATAGCAAATATGTGTCAGAGTTCTACCAATGAGTCACATATTTAAAAAGTACTTGATATTGAGAAACATTTCGGATCATTCTTTCAAGTCTATAGTAACAAGATATAACATACCTAGTACCACCTTTCTATTTAGTTTCCAGTATGAAATGTGTATGAATGTTATAATTTTTATAACTCCAGGATAAACATGCAATGATGTTTTTACTTTTTGTCTTCATAAAACAGAATAATGAAAAAACCATTCAAATATAATAGGTGTGTTTATGGGTTTTGCTATATGTTGAACAAAGTGCTTTACACATAATTATTTAGTTACAAACCATTGCTCTTCTTATTTTATGTAATGAGGAAACTTAAATGCAAAAGTTTTTAAGGACCTATTTAAAAACCACACAAATATTGAGAAATTTTTGTAATAATAATCCTATCTGCAGTTCAGAGCTACACCCTACATTTGTTAAATAATCAATACAGAGTTTATGAGTTGTGTTATTTTACTACATACAACATTCTTCTTTTAGAGTCATAGAATACCATGCTTATATGAGACCAAGAATGCTTTTTTTTTTTTTTTTTTTTTACTTTTTTTTTTTTTTTTTTTTTTAATTTTTTATTGTGGGTTGTTCAAAACATTACAAATTTCTTGACATATCATATTCCACACTTTGATTCTAGTGGGTTATGAACTCCCACCTTCACCCCATACACAGATTGCAGAATCACATCAGTTACACATCCATTGATTTACAAATTGCCATACTAGTGTCTGTTGTGCTCCGCTGCCTTTCCCATCCTCCCCCCTCCCCCCTCCCCACCTCTCCCCTCCCCTCCCCTCCTCTCTCTCTACCCCCTCCACTGTCTAACCCTGAGGGTCTCCTTCCATTACCGTGCAATTTACCTTCTCTCTCCCTTTCCCTCCCACCTCTCATCCCTGTTAAATGTTAATCTTCTTCTCCTGTTCTTCGTCCCTACTCTGTTCTTAGTTACTCTCCTTATTTGATACCTATGAAAAAACTTCAGTCAGTCTAGTTGGAGCTCTGTTGTCAAGAGGCTTCATCACCGGCTACCACTAGATGGTGCTTGTTACTGAACCAAAGGTTCTTTCTGTTTTCCTTAGGTGCCTATTAGGACTTTGGAAGATAGGAAAGAAACTTGATTAATAAGCTAAATAGTGGGTGGGTACTGCAGAAAGTCATTAAGCACAGAGAGTTATTGATTAAAAAGTAAACAAACCATTGTTAGTAAAGGTTACTTATAAGCTGTTTTTTTCTACTGCCATCAATATTTTCTGTTCATTCTTTTTGTCATCAACCGGTGTGAATTCCTAAACAAAAAGAACAAATAAGTCTTTCTTTGGACTTATGAGACTCAAAGTCCATAACACAGGTTTTAGGGTTGGTGGGGGAAAAAAAAAGGAATCTCGGGATTCATTGTTCTCACCCGGAAAAGCAAAAGGAAAGGTGGCCACATGCAGAGTTAATAGGAAAAGTTAATCAATTACCTTTCAAAGGAAAAACACATGTATCTCAATTACTGAGCAATAATCAATAGGAAAGGAAATGGAACATACTCTTTTAATTGTGGGATAGCAAACATCAAGTAGTGAGACCGATAACAGAGGTTTCTGGATCTTTGCCAAAGACAACTCTTTTCCTTATTAATTTAAGACCCATTGCAAATCTCCTTCCAGAATGCTCTCATTCTCTTTTTTCCCCATCCTACTTCACCAACTATGTACCCCTTTCAGGGTAAAATCTCGCCAATCTTGATAGTGAAATGCCTCCCAAGTGTTACCTATCCAGTTTGTTTGAAGACATTTTGACAGATTTTGCAGCAGAATGCATGGAAAATGTGTTTCTTGGACCTTTCCTTTCTCAAACAGTCACCAAAGCTTACTATTCATGGCTGGTTCAGGATTATAATGAGAAATTGCCAGCTATGTTGAAATACATAATCCACAGTGTGAAAAACTTCTTAATAGCAGTGGCAAATTCTTAATACAAAAGTGATTTCTTTTTGCCTGTGAACTTACTTTGGGGTTGCTGATTCTTACTGTGTCCAGGAAATGACAGTTAATTTTAACAGTAGTCTGGAAAGAAAAGAAAATGACTTAAGGGAAAGTTTTAAAGCTCAATTTTGTTTTATCTTGCGTTTTGAATTTCCCATGTCACTGCAGTGGGAAATGTAGAATGTGTGAACATACATGTGATCCAGATGTGACAACAGCTCAACATATGACATAAGTGCATTTTAATTTCAGACATCAGGCAGCTTAGTGTTTCCTAGTATTTTTGAAGCATTGATTAGGGATTTTAAACATATAGGTTTTCGAAAACTAAGAACTCTATATCTGCTTCCACAGCCCTTTTGAGGCATCATGGATCTCTTCCAGTTTGATATATTGAAAAAAAAAATCTCTTCCTTAAATTTATTTCTCTTCTATCCCAAATATTTCCCTCTGCGCATGTTACTATCTATAGCTTTGTATTGAAGAAAGTTTTGGAACCTGGAGCAGCCAGTCAGTATGGAAAATTATTTTTCTTGGGCTTTATGTGTTTTGGTGGCTACAATTGAAAGTGCGATTTGATCAGTGACTTCCAAACATATATAATGTGCATTAATAGAAAATTCATATGCACTTGAATCATACATTGTGGCTAAAATCCATTAAGTGGCTACTTTGTAGCAGTTTTCAGAACATTAGATTGTGTCTGTGTTGCCAGTCTGTTCATCTCTTTTGAAATACCTTTTATTTATTTATTTTTATGTGGTGCTGAGGATCGAATCCAGTGCCTCACACGTGCTAGGCAAGTGCTCTACCACGGAGCCACAACCCAAGCCCAACCGTCATATCTTAATGGCTTACTTAACTGATCATAATGGTGCTGGGTCACTGATATGATATTATTATTATTTGCTTGGCAAAGGGCACTTAAATCTCATTAATTGGACTTAAGAACAGAGTAAATAGTCATGATCATTTTGAAATTTCAAGAACCCCCCTTGGATGACTAAGAGTGTTAGGAATTCTAACTCCAGAAGAAGACAGAAGCAATTAGTGACATAAACGAAGGTCAAGCCTGAGAACCGCGATGTGCCCAGACATCCTTTGCTGAAGATTTAATGTTGCCTATACTGGGTGCTGGCAGTACTCTACCTTCCAATACACTTCAAGTTTTATAAAGTAGCTTTAAGAATGATCTGGGGCTGGGAAATGCTTGCAACTTCAGGCTATCCCCAGCAGGGAACTCTTTGGAGTAGGGCTCAAAAGTACGACGGACCTAGCAGCCCGCTAAGGTCGCGGGAGAAGGAACCCCGGGAGGCGAGGGCGGCCGGTCGCGACCCCAGTGCTCGGTCCTTTGCAGGCGGGTGCGGCGCGCAGAGCCGGAGCCCCCAGCGGAGGCGGCGCGGCGCGAGGCCCCTCCCAGCCGCCGCAGATGCCCAGGCGGCTGACGCCGAGCGGCGGCTGGGAGAGGTGGGGGCCAGGCGGGCGGGAGCGAGCGAGGGCAGGGCAGGGGGCCGGCCGAGGCCACTCGCGGCTTTAAATATGGATCGCGGGCTCGCGCTTGCGGCACAGTCGCTGCCGCCTTCCCCGATTCCCTGTTTGTTGCCGAGGGGCGCCCGGACTGGGCACCTCTGCTGCAGTGTTAGCTACTGGCAGTTACATCGGAGATCCCCATAAATATGCAGGAGCTGCAGGAGGCAAAGTAGAGTAGACGCCCGCGCCCTTACACCCTCACTCGCCACGAACCACGCGGGCCGTGTAGACATTCTCCCCCCCCCCCACCCGCGCCACCTTCTCCCGCTTCCTCCCGGGAGGTTCAGGTTCTAAGGGAGCTTGCTTCGAAGACCCTCCCGCTTCAGCGCCCTCGCCCCGCTCTGTCGCGCTCACCTCTCTCTGCCCCAGAGCGCGCACCCACCCGGGCGGCAAAGTTGTGACTACTTGGGAGCGGGTGACTCGCGTCCCGATCGCTCCGTGCCTCGCACCGACAACTTCCCCCGGCTCTGCGCCGCTGCGCGCCGGGCCCACGCCTCCCAGGACCCCGCGGGCCCCCAGCCTCCAACCCCGGCGGCGCGCCGGGCAGCGCTTTGGTGGCGGCAGCGGCCGTGGTGGCAGCGAAAGCAGCGGCGGCGGCGGCGGCGGCGGCGGCCGCTGCAGCCACACACTCCGCCGCCAAACTGGAGGAGCGACGGAAGCCGGATCCCAGGAGGTAAGTACCCGGCCGGAGCAACCGCGGGTGGGTCGGCCAAGTCCCCAGCCTCACCACGGTGGCAATCAGGGGTCTGAGGGCCGGTCCTGGAGGGCGCTCAGGCGGCCTCGGCGCGCTGGGGGGGAGGAGTGAGAGGTCAGTTGCGGGCCGGGCATCCCCTAGGTTGGGCTCCCGAGACGTGTGCAGGCTGCTTCCGCGGAAAAGTACTTTTCCCCCCGCTTCTTAGCGCTTACAGGAAGAGTTGTGGTGGTCTTTTTCCCTCTCACCGCCTAGCCCCCTCCGCATAACTGGATGTTGTTACTAGGATTGTGGGGCCAGTATGCGCGGCAGGCTGGCTCGGACGCAGTGACACGTGTGTTCCCGTGAGCCTGGGTGGTCGCAGTGCGGCCAGGCACCTGCCTGAGGGGGGCGGGGGGGACACATACCCAGACACATCAGAGGGGGAAGCCTGGGGAACTCAGTGCCACCGAGGCCGCGGCCCCCACTTCACTGACCACTCCTGTACCGGTACCGAGCATTCACATCTCTGGCACGCTGAAGACTGTGGGGGTGAGTCAGGCAGATTCTCTGCAAGTGGCACATACACATTTATTTGCAATGGACTTGGAAGGAGGAGGCAGAGGTTAAACTGGCATTTCTCTTGGCCAGCGACAGCAGAGCTCTTCCTCAGGTACTGGGCAGCATGTACATCTTGGCAAAGATAGGTGATTTCTTTCTTCTTTTAAGTGCATTTCACTCAGCCTTTGGCAGTCTATTAGTAATAGTCACTAAAGGAAGGCAGGAATTGGGAACTACATCAGCAATCTGCAGCAAGCACTACAAAGGAAAAAGTTCTTAAAAGAACAAAAGAAAAACCCTGAACTTATGAAAGATGTAGAAGAAAGCAGTTATACTTCTATACCAACATTGTAGAGCATTTATCAGTTCTTTGTAAAACTTTTTTCTACCCTTTATTCCTTCTCAAGGCCCTACCTTAGCACAATTGCCTGCAGCAAACTTTCCAGTCTGGACTGAAGCTCAGTAAGCGCTTTGAATTACCCTCCCACTTCTCCCGTTTTCACATCTGTGCTGGAGAAAGTTGCTCCTAATTAGAAGTCATGGACACTGGACTGTACTAAACACACTTTGTCTCAACTCTGGAACTGCTTTTTCCTAAGAAGCACTGCATTGTACTGTACTTCCTCCACCCTCCTTTTTGTATCTGAGACTTACAGTTGGAATAGTACCTGAATTAAAGTGTATTTTGCCTATTAGGGTTTATTTTCATTCTGACTTTGAATAGAGTCTTCCATGCAGGGCAGTATTTACAGGCTTTTTTTTTTTTTTGGCCAATGTAACGTCTTTTGAAACTGTTTGTAAGAATGGTCATTTTGTAGTTAGATTGAGGGTACTAGTATAACTTCATTCAAAGGAAGTGTGTCTTTATTTTTCTATAGCTTTCATTACTGAGAAAAAACTTTTACTTTCATTTTAAAGTTAAAAGTAGTGATAGGATTTTGGTCTCTGTGTTAATTCTTGCAACTGAATTGTTTTAACTTTAGAGTATCTAGGTAAAATGACATAAAACTTTTGCATGTATAGATAGAGATGGGAAAATAGTACTTTTATGAACTGTTGATTGAGTTGTAGGGCATTTATAGGGGTAGAGGTGGGAAGGATAAGATGGAATATTTTGATAGTTCTAGGTATGTTTGAGAAAACTTCTAAAGAAACCCTTAACAATTTGTGGTTGAGTGCTTCTAAAAATGAGTTTTTTTTTTTTTTTTTTCAAATGAGGTGTAATTTGCTGTTTTGGGGAGATATATATATATATATATATATATATATATATATATATATATATAATTTTAGCCAATCCGATTGTACTCTTTATTTTCTAGTGATTTTTTTAAGTTCCTTTGTCACCATAAAATAACTTTAAATGTTAGTGTCATTATTTTTTTGGATTTACAAAAATATCTTGTGAAAGGCAATTGTATTTAGAGGAAAAAATGGGATAGACATCAGGTAACCTTTGGGACAACATTCAGCATGCCTTGGTAGTAATCTCATTTTTTACTGAGCTCTGGCAAGTACAATTTTGAGGTTCTGATAGCAAGCAAGATAGTCTGGCCATAGCTTACATCTTAAAGGAAAACAGCACTTAAGGAAAGGAAATACACACGTTAGCTGGTGAATCATCGAGATAATCAGGTTTCTCTGCCTGCCTCTGAGGGCGCTGCAGTCCAAGAGGACTACTACTGTTAGGGGAGAGGAGTCCTAAGAGAATTCACCACAACTGAAATGTGATGAGGCTCATCATCATCTTGTTACTTGAAGTTTCTTTGTGTTCATTTTATACAATAGGAATAAACTCTAAAACAGGAGTTGATAGGTAATAAGATTGGGATTGGGAAGAACAGACTGAGAAGAGGAAAATCTGATGATGATCAAACTTTCTAAGCAGTTTTTTTTTTTTTTTGATGGCTAAATGGAAGGAAGCAGTACAAAGGAAGCTAGAAGCAGAACACAGACCTCAGTTTATGCTGTTTCCTAGGATGACTTATAATTTATGAAATTTATAGGGAATTATTTAGCAAAATGGGTAGTTATGGAACATCCAAGAAGTTAGTGAGACTACAAAAGTAGACCTTACTACTTTTGCATTCGTGGGAATGTTTTTTGTAGGGGAAGAGGAGAATAATTTTTTTTCATAAAAGGTCTGGTCTAAGCTGAATTACAAATACATATTGCCTTTCTTCCAGTATTTAAACACTTGATATGATATGTCACCAATTGGAAAATATGCTACTGTCCTAACATGAAGGTATTTCATATCCTTAGTAATGATTGCCTTTAGTTATTTTTACAGTAGTAGAGATGGATTCCCTTTTGCTCATTTGTTCTGTCTAATGTGCATTTACACATACACTCACAGAGACACAAATTAGTACAGGTGGCCAGTTTTATTTTAGCTCAAGGCATACTTGCTATTGTCATGATGATTTTGAGGCAATGAATTTTGTGCATTTCTCTAGTCTTAGTGCAATGGCATTTCAAACAGGCATCAGAGAGATGATGAAGGTATAAATGGTGATGGTTTTTTTTGTTTAATCTGCTGTGGCAAATAAGAGAGAAAACTTTTTTCTGGTCTTCTTCATTATGTTTATAATTTTACTCCTTAATATATTGTTTTACTTACCTCGAACTAAGTTATGTATTCAAAAAGGTGTGGTAGAAATAGTAATGATGAAACCATGCTCATCTGGAGTTGTTTGCATGAACCAAAATCTTGTTCTTCTTTCTTGACAATGGACTAGATGCAAGGGATTATTATGTTTAGTAGGAAGATGAGGAAATTAAGGCACAGAGAACTTTGTTTGCTTTTCTTGAAATTAAGAGAAAATTATTGGTGGATATAAAAAAGGACGTGTTATATTTTGACTAGTGATACATAATTATTGAATGAGTGTCATGAAATGGACAAATGTCCATTTAGTCACAGCAGAAAACACTCGAGAAAATAAAAGTTTATCATGCTGTAAAGTGCTGGTCTCCATTCCCCTCTGTTCATTCCACTCAGCAGCAGCGCCCACTTGCCTTGACTTTATTTCAGATTCTGGAATGACGAGGGTGTTTTGCTAGTTAGTAAATATTTTTCAGTTTGTGTATACCAATATTAGCTCCAATCTTGAGAACTAATAGTTTTTTTCATGTAGAATTCACACAAGAAACAATTATATGAAATTAGGATATTAAAGGAAATAAATAACCACCAACTTATATTTTGGGTTTTTTCTCCTTTGTGGATAATTGTGTTGAAAAAGGATTTTCTCAATTAACTTGAATTTCTATCTTAGAAATCTTAAAAAAAACTCTACGTAAATATTATACTTTTGGGTTTTTTTAAAAAATAAAAATTATTAAAAATGCAAACTAAGAAGGGGATGTACTATGTTTAAAACTGTTGTGTTCTGTAAGTGACACAACTAGAAAAGCTGCTCATAATGTCTTCAATTGTTAATTTCTTTACTTTTTTTAAACAATATTTTTTAGTTATAGATGGACACAATACTTTTATTTTGTTTATTTAGTTTTTTTTATGTGGTGCTAGGGACAGAACCCAGTGCCTTAATCATGATAGGCACATGCTGTACGACTGAGCCACAACCCCAGCCAGTTTCTTTATGTTTTTGTTAATGTACTCACTGAATAATCTTCTCTATACTATTTGCAAATAAGTACACTTGAGGGACCTGGGCTTCTGGGTTGGTTAATTCTAGCTTCAGCCTGGAGATCTAGCAGTCACTGATAGGATCTCGTACAACATTTATTTAACATATTCTTGAGTAAAAAATCTCCAAGCAGGCAAAATAGAGGACAAAAAAGGGACATACATTAAAGAGGACTCACTTCACTCTTAGGAGATTTCTCAGAGTCTGCTTAATCTTAACACACATAAATTCTAATAGGATAGATAATAAGGTCTCTGATCTCATAGTAAACAGTCATTGCAAAGTGGAAGACAGAAATGGGCTGATTTGGTAGATAGTTGGAGAACATTGAAAGAGCCATAGGACAGCTTGGTAGAAAGGGAAGAGTTAGACAAAGTACTGGAAACAGAAGTAAAGAATTAAAGTGGGGTGGTCAAGGACTATTTAGGTGTAGAACTGATAGCACTACTTTACTGTATTCGCTTCTCCCTTCCTTTCTCCTTTCTATTCTTCCTCCCTCCCTCCTTCCTATTTATTGATTTTTTATTTTTGGGGTGCTGGGGATTGAACCCAGGGCCTCATACATGCTAGGCAAGCCCTTTACCACTGAGCCACATCCCTAGCCCTAGTTTAAGTTTTTTTATTGAAATACATTCAGAAAATTGCAAATGTCATTAAGTCATCAGTAAACAGCTCAGTGATATACGTGAGTGAATATATCAATATAACCGGCACCAAGACCATGATGTTAAGCCATTGCCAGCATCAGAAGCCTCCTCTCCACTTCCCCTGCAAGTCGTTAGTTCC